ACAAAAGAAGAATTGGTGGCAGCTGTAACTCGACATTATGCAACACAAACTGTTAAAGAAGTTGATATGATCGCGTCATTTATTTACGCTGTGCAAAATAAAGGTTCGTTCCAACAACAATCATAGTATTTTTTGTTTGTTGTGAGTTTTTTTTAATTAAATGTTATAATATTTTTTTTTTTGTATAGACAACACATTGAAGTTACCGATTCCTTGAAAAATCTATAAATTAATAAATTAAATAAGGATTAATCATTTTAATAACATAATAAATAAAATCATAAATTATATACTGTAAATGCAAAACATTATTTTACACAAAAAATAAAATCCATATATAACAACATCTATCTATATATCATTTCAGCAATTTCTAGATATGAGGTTTTCAATCCCAACCAATTAATCATTTAAACCACGTTTTCTTTCTTTTAATTACTAAGCCTCTAAATGGTTCATTTGGCCCTTGAAGTTTTGGCCTACAATTATAATTAGAAGGCCTCAAAAAATTTCCGGTTACCTTATTATTATTCCTACATAATCGGCAACAGATTTTCCTTTTTAATTTATTTATTGCCTATTTCGTATAACGTAAAATTTGATAAGATTTTTCTATATAGTTTTTTTTTTTTTCTTGAATATTAAAAATTGTTGAAAATGATGAGTTTAAAGCCATCAATACGTTCAATAAAGCCCAAATTCTTTTTGGAATTACGAAAAAGTTTTTCCATTAGCACTATTAGAACTTCACCATATGATGATACTATTAAAAACATGAAACTTACAAAAAACACTAGAGTTGTTTGTCAAGGTTTTACTGGAAAACAAGTAATTAATTGCATTAGTTGACTAACAGTTGATTTTCTTTAATATATTATTATACATCTTAACAATTGATTTGATAGGGAACGTTTCATTCACAACAAGCAATTGATTATGGAACTAATTTAGTTGGCGGAGTAGCACCAAAAAAAGGTGGTCAAAAACATTTGGGAAGACCTGTATTTAATACCATAGCCGAGGTTAAAAAAAAATTTTTCAAAAAAAAATATACATATATTTGATTCTTTATATAATCATATAATCATGTTGAATAAATGTGTTTATGTGTATTTATATATTTTTGATAGGCAGTTAGTGAAGTTAAACCAGATGCTTCTGTGATTTATGTACCCCCACCTTCAGCTGCAAATGCTATTATAGATGCCATCAAGGCAGAAGTTCCTTTGGTGGTAGCAATTACGGAAGGAATTCCACAGCAAGATATGGTTCGAGTACGTAATAACTGTAAAAGTATAATTGGATTTTTTTTTTTTTCTTATTTAAATTTTAATTTTTAAAAAAATTTTTTATAGGTTGTTAAAGCTTTAAAAAACCAAAATAAAACACGTCTTATTGGTCCTAATTGTCCTGGAATCATAGTGCCAGATGCTTGTAAAATTGGTATTATGCCCGGACATATCCACAAAAAAGGAGTTGTCGGAATTGTTTCAAGATCCGGTACGTTAACATATGAAGCAGTTAATCAAACCACTCAGGCGAATCTTGGACAAACTTTATGTATTGGAATTGGTGGTGATCCATTTAATGGAACAAATTTTGTAGATTGTTTAAAATTGTTCTTGGAAGATGAACAAACAAAAGGTTTTATTTTTTTAAAAAAGATAAAATAATAAAATAAATGAAATAGTAATAGCATTATTGTTGTTATTGTAATATAGGCATTATACTAATCGGAGAAATTGGCGGTATTGCTGAAGAGAATGCGGCAGAATTTTTAAAACAATATAATTTGACCCGATCTCAGCCAAAGCCTGTGGTTTCTTTCATTGCTGGTTTAACTGCGCCACCAGGACGTCGTATGGGCCATGCAGGGGCTATAATTGCTGGTGGTAAAGGTGCTGCAACTGATAAAATTAAAGCATTGGAAAGTGCTGGTGTTATTATTTCAAAAAGTCCTGCTAAACTCGGAGTTCAATTAAGAGAAGTTAGTAGTTAAAGTTTTTTATAAATAATAATAATAATAATATTGTTATTATTAATATTTTTTTTTTTGGTAGGAAATGGAAAAGGCAGGCCTGATTTAAATATTACTCTTAACTTTTTAACAACATACAATATTTTTTTTTTATAAAATCAATTCATATAAGGCGGTATCAAATTGATTCTCTGTTTTACATCCTCTCTCCTTAAAAAAATAATAATAAATAACTATTCATCCACCAATAAAATTGCGAATTATAGATCACATGATGAGAAATAAGGAAATCGTGCGTTTTTAAAAGTGATCGGCATACACTTACAATCTTTGCCTCTGACTTCCTTTTTTACCTCTAATCTTTCATTTAAAATGATTCATTATATTCCAAGTATATGTAGGTCTCAAAAGTTTGATTCAACCAAGAATTAAAGAAGTAAATGAAGAAAGTTTCTTTTATGAAATATTTGATTCAGCTACTTCAGGTGCAGATATAGGAAGAACAGTTAGAGTTTCAGTTCGTGCCAATGATACAAATCCATGGAAACCTGTAGAGGAAGGATTAGATGGCCGAATGATGCTAATGAAGTCACTTAAATTTTTTCAAGTAAAATTTATGCTTGTTCCCGAAGAAACAACTCATCCATGGACTCTACCACCAAATTTACAAAATGCCTTTGAAAAACTCACGAGTGCTGAGGTTAAACTTCCTGCTCAAAAAAAAGACTCTATAATGAATTATATTAATCACAGACTGTCTTTAATTCAATCTAAACTCAATTCAGAAGCAGCATGCACCTCCACCGTAGCAGCTGCAAAATTCGTGACTATATTAAGTACTATGTTTGTTCAAAAACACGTTGTTTATATTCTGACACAAGATTGACGTCTGAAAAAGCTGGGTCTCTTTGAATTATTAAAGAATCTTTTGATTATTCATGTGATGGGCCGATTTTTCCAGAAGAGCATCCATTTGCAACCAAAACCTGGACCTGTATTCATATTTCGTGTGATTCTCCAATTGAATTGAATGGCTGTATTGTACTTTGAGAAAAAGTGGTAATGTGGTCAAGTCAGCAAGTCAATAAAATATTCCTCAAGAATTTAAGGATAAACTTAAATTAGTACATCCTACGTGCGAAAGGCAGTAAAATCTTGTTTAAATGAACTCGTTGTTGTTAGACTTAACATGTGACTTTTGTTATGATTGGCCACATGAAATGTAAAATAAAATCTCAATTTTTTCTGTATTTTAACAAAATCGGTATTTGCTACTATATAATCATTAGCGTTAGGAATAATCAGACCAAAAAATTTCTCAAAATCTCTTTAAACACAAACAAATTTTATAATTATATATTTGTTTTTTCTTCTTTTTTATTTTCCTAATATCTTTACTAGTAATCTCTGGTAACGCTCCTTCTGAATTGAGTTCAGATTGAATTAAAGACGGTCTGTGATTAATATAATTTTATTATTATAGAGCCTTCTTTTTGAGCAGGAAGTTTAACCTCAGTACTCGTGATTTTTTCAAAGGCATTTGGTAAATTTGGTGATGGAGTCCATTGATGAGTTGTTTCTTCATAAATTTTACTTGAAAAAATTTAAGTGACTTCATTAGCATCACTCGGCAATCTAATCCTTCTTTCTAGAGGTTTTCATGGATCTGTATCATTGGCACGAACTGTTCTTCCTATATCTGCACCTGAAGTAGCTGAATCAAATATTTCACAAAAGAAACTTCCTTAATTCTTGGTTGAATCAAACTTTTGAGACCTTCATGTACTATTAGAGGTAAAAAAAGGAAGTCAAAGGCAAAGATTGTGCGTGAAAATGATTCACACATGTTAAATTCAAATTAGCCAATCAGAGGAAAATTTCATATTTATCAATGATCGACGGAATAATAATGGCATTCATGAATCCAATTCAAAGTGTTTAATGTCATAATTTTATTAATGCACAATCATAAAGTTTTTTACATTTAATTTCGTGTTAATTCTAATACAAAAACTTTTATATAATGAAAAAATAATGCTTACCTCCAAGAATAAAGTATTTTTATTTATCAAACTTGAAAATAAATCGGAAATGATTTACATAAGTTACACGTGACAAAAATCGGAAATAACCAGTCCAATGATTCTAACATTCATCATTAATTCTAAAATTCTATTTAAAAGAGAGAGAATTTAAAATCATTCAAAAGTAACTTGGAATTTTTCTTAAAAGGAAGATCCAGATTATTTTTAAGGAATCTCCAAATGGAACTGGAACAAAAGACTACATCATTAAGAGTTCCCGTAATAAGGGAAGACATAGGGAATTGTTTAATGAATTGATTGTATGTACTTAAAAATGAACAACAATAATAGATAGTTTTGAAAGTAAAGCATAAATACATATTATTATTATACTTTAGCATAAATTATAAGCAAAAGAAATATTTTAATATAATAAAAGAGATAATAGATGTTACATGGAAAAATCAGATTTTTAAAATCATTAAAAAAGGAAATGTACTTAGAATTGTGAAATCATCATAAAACCCTACCAAATTTCCAATTATAAACTACAAATTATACAGTTCTTCTTGATAAACTGGAAGAATGAGAAAAGAAGATGAAGAATTAAACAAAACTTGGAACCAAAAAGGAGGGGGTTTAAAAAATTTTGATGAAGAGTTCATAATAGAAGAGGTTAGGCAAGAGGTAAGATGAGTAATAGCCATGCTTTGGGGTGAAAGTGCATCAAGTGAAATAAAACAGTTTGATATAGATCTTTGGATCAAACAAGCAGAAAAGATCTTGGATGATGATTTTAGTCAAAATGAGAAGGAGACATATGTTGACATTGAATGGAAATGGCAAAAACTCTTGAATGAGAAATTTGTGAAGCTTTTACAACAGCCACTGTTTGTGATGTGAGCATGCTCTTTTTGCTTTTGATGAAGCACAAGCAATGATTAACATTGAGGGTGAACATGAAGCTAGTCCAATCTTCACTGATTTTAATTATCTTTTTCTGTCACCTCCTCCTTTGAATTAGCTATGTTATTCAAAAATAGGATCCTTTTCACAGCTGTCTACTTTCCAATGTGATGCTGTGACGCTTTAAGATCAATTGATTGTTGGCTTGTTTTTTGGCAGTTATGTTTTTTTAGCAGCATCACTTTTGACATTCACATTAATTCAAATTGTTTCTGCCATTTTAGCATGAACATAATAATTGAATCAGTGTAGGAAATTGAGTGCAGGGTTTTATGTTACATTAAAGGTAGTCAATACAGTCAAACCTTGTCACAATGGTCCTCATCACAGCAGATTGTAATCAAATTCTTGTCATATAAAAACCATTCTGGCAAGATTAATAATCCCACTCATTCGCTTGTGACAAGGTTTGACTGTGTAACAAAGTTGAAAAAAAAATATAATAATAATGAGTGGAACTCTCTAAAATCCTATCTGCATCCCTATAAAAATACATAAATGTATCTTATTCAATTGTGGAAACATTTTGGATACATCCAAATTTAACAATTATTTATTGCCTTTTTCCAATGCACATATTGAAAGAATATTTTTTCACAATCTTCACAAACAAATCTAATTGAGGAATTACTGTTGCAGATCCATTTTTAGATCCACGTAAATTTGAACCTGCAATAAGACTTTTATTCATGTTTTTCCCACTATATTACTACGTAGATTGTTGAGAACCCCAAATTGCATATTTTAAATATTATTAATATTTAAGTGTTATTTCCTAATTGGGTAACGCTTGACCTATTTTCGGAGTCTCGATTGTTTTCATAGATATCAAAAGCTCGTGATATTATCCATTACGTCATATTATTTTGGTTTTACAAAACACAATAAAAAGGGGGACACCTATTTTAATTTTTTAAAAAAATAATCGATTATGTCAAAGCCACAAAATAATTCTCAAAGACGTAAATCTTTTGGGCAATGGGACAAAACCAATGTGGTGAATGTCAATCAAAAATACTATGTTAATAAAATTGATAAATACACGGATGCTCAAAAGGAAACCTTTACTCGCTGGGTCAACATTCAATTACGCTCAATTCACAGATATGATTTTCTAAACTCTGATAACAATTCATCAAATGAAAGTTTAGTAGACAAACTTCCTGAAATTAAAGAAATTGAAAAAGATTTCAGAGATGGTACTAGATTGATTAAATTGTTGGAAGTTATTTATGAAGGTGATTCAGAATTACCAAAACGTGAACGTGGTAATACAAGACATCATCATATTGCAAATGTTAGCAATATTTTAAATTTTTTGAAAAATCGTTTAGATGAGTCGGGTCTGGCTGCTTTACAAGCAATTGGACCTGTTGATATTGTTGATGGTAATGTAAAATTGACATTGGGTTTAATTTGGCTGATTATTTCAAAATTTCATCAAATGGTCAGTGTATTTAAAGACGCGGTAACCGAAGAAGAGTTGGCAATTGCTAAAGCTCAATCTAGACTTTTAAATGGTGGGCTTGGTGATGGTAATAAAAAAAGGAATAAAAATCCTAATTCTGATTTATGGCTTAACTTGGATATTGAATCAATTGAATCACACATCGATAAATTAGAATCAATTATCAATAATGATGGTGGTGCTAACAATGATGGTGGTGTTGAAAATGATGGTGGTCATAATGTTAAAGATGAAGTGAAAGAAATAAATGCAATAATGGAAGATGAAGATCATGAAAAATTGGAACAAATTGAAAAAAATTCAGAAGAAAAAGAAGAAAAATCAAATGACAACAATATTGATAATCATCTTGGGGAAAATCCAGTTAATGTTGATGATAATAGTTCAATTAATCATTCAAAAATATTTCTAAATCCAAGACAAAATGTTAACATCATGAACAACTATAATAGAAAAATGTCATTACCAGAAATAGCCAATAAAGATTTTCGACTTCCACCTAAAAGATTTCGTACATTACGTCTAAATGATTCTTCTGCATCATTAAGTTCTTCATCCGGTCTATTGTTTTGGTTAAACATGCAACTTGTTGACTATGCATCTGTATTACCTTCAAGTTCTTATCCAATTGAAGATCTAACAGGTTTAAATAATGGTGTATTATTATCTGCACTGATTCACCATAAAAATCCGGAATGGTTTGAAGATTTTGATCTATTGGTTAAAGATCCACCCAATAAAGATGAATCTGCAATAAAAGAAAGGCTACAAAAATGTTTTAACATAACAGAAGAAAAACTGGGCGTGGAACCACCAAAAGCTTTGATCTCCATATTAATTGAAAACAATCATCAATTGAATAAAGAACAGATTAATGCTAAAGCTGGTGTTGCGTGGAATGCATATATTTCAGAGGTATTCATTGCAATGTCAAATAAAAACAAAAAGAATACAAAAAAAGATCAAGTTAAATTATCAATAGAGCAGCAGCAGCAACAACTACAACAACAACAAAAGGTTGATGACAATATTAATAATAATATTTCTATATCTCCAACAGCAGTAGAAGCAACAACTTCGACTCAACCTATTTTATTTAATGAACCACCATTAGAAGAAAGAGACTCTCTATATTCAACTAAGAAAGGTTTATCAATGGCATCTTCGCCATTATCACCATTACCACCATGGTCGCCTAAAAAATTATTGGTGAATGCCGTATGGGATTGGGCTACGAATTGGATGACTGGTAATAATGATGATAATTTAAATTATGATGAAAATGAAGATGGTGAAATTGATAATAGTAATGAGAATGAGATTACTAAACATGGTAAACGTGAATCGAAAACTTTTAAAGCTACTAGCAGTAATTGTGATTATGAAGAAGATAATAATAGAAATTTAATTGATAAAAATTTGATTGGCATTTGGAATATACAAAGTATTGATGACTGGATAAAAAACTAAACAACAACAACAACATCAACAACAACGGCACCAACAATGACAAAATGACAACAATTCACTATTAGAATTGTACATCAATCTAACATTTACACGCATTGGAGTTAAATATTTTGGCATTTTATTATTTACATTTATTGTTATTTGTTTATTTGTATAAATATATGTTTGACTTATAATTATAATTCGTATTATCATTTGTAAACAATCCACATACATCTCGAATCAGAGATATTAATAATATCTGGGTTTCTTTCTTTTGATTAAGCTTACAACCATTTCGTAACGTTTAATTATTGTTGCAATTTTCATTTTTCTTTGACCATTATTTCACAATCCCTCAACTTTTTACAATCTAAAAATAACTAAAGATAGAACTAACTTCATAGTCGTCGTATTGAGCTTTCTGAACTTTAAGCAATGTGATCATTTGTGACAGGAGAATATTTTTTTGTACTCTCTCCCCCCTCTTATTATATTTACTTAATGTTATTTACATGGATAGTAACACAAAGGAGTACGATTTTTTGATTTAAATTTAAATTTAAATGACTTCAAAAAAACTGTTTCTTTCAAAATTTGAAATTAAATAAAAAAAATGACCACGTTATTTGATCAATCGATTTCGTCATTCCAACAAAACGATCAAAACTATAACATCAACCATAATAATAGTAACAATAATAGTGATGATATTGGTGGTATTGGTGCTAATTCTGTTATCTCCCCGACTGCAATCTCAAATTATTCCTTGCTTCCTCCAGATCAAGCAAACATTAACTTCAAACCTACAACAACCGCCCTTGGAAAAATATCTAAATTAAAAATACATGTTTTATTGGATTCTACCGTTTATACTGCTGGTACAAACTTATCCGGTAGACTGGTTGTATCAAGTTTGTCTTCACGTTCATTGAAATTAGGTGAAATTTCAGTTGAATTGACAGCCTATGAAGGTAGATATACACATACACTATTGTTATATTTTAGAATTGGGAAAGTCATTTGATAATATGTATTGTGTATATATACATCTTCGATTTAGAATTAACAACAAGAGAGTACACCGCTTCTCAATCTTTCTTATCATCAAGATTGGTTTTTCAAAGTTCCACTTTACCTCCCTCAAATGCTGTATATGGTCCAAAAGAAGATGGGTTTTGGACTGCTAAAAAAGGAAAAACGACCTTTCCTTTTGCCTTCAAAATTCCAATTGATGCTCCAAGTTGTGTTACATACGGAAATAATGCGTGTTTAAAATATATAGTTACTGGGTAATCATATAAATCTTTATTTTTTTTAAATTATGGTAATGATAATACTAGTAATATTGATAATAAAAATAATTGCTCTTAATTAATTAATTGATTAATTAATTAATCAACATATTACCATTAGTGTTGTTCAATATAAAGTCAATAATAAAGAAGATTCAACTTTCAAGTCCAAAGAAGCATTCGTCGTGGAAGCTTGGGATATTAATAATCCTATATATAAACAACCTGTAGAAGGTATGAATATGAGACAGTTATGGTTGGGTGGATCAGGTGCCATTATGTTGGAAGCAAGATTGGTTGAAACGTTTTTTCAAAGTGGTGCCAATATCAGTGTACAAATCAGAGTAAAAAACGAAACTAAAAGAAGAGTATGTCTATATCTATATTATATATATCGAATTCATTTTATACGCATACTCAATTATAATATATTTGGATTATACGAAATAGGTTCAGGGAATTAAGGTTGCCATCACTCATAAACTTCATATACTTGCCAATAAAACAAAAAAAGAACTTGACGATGTTAAGGTTGTTGGCGAGACAGTCAAAGAAGAATGGTACAAAAATAAAGATTTTTTATTTGATTGTGGTGAAGATCGTATTACCACTGTTCATATTGATGTTCCGGTAAGTTTCATCACCAATCGTCATAATAATAATAATAATAATAATAATAATAATAATAATAAAATAATAGTGGTAGTAATAATTTTTATTTTTATTTTATTTTAGAAAAACGTAAGAACAATAAGAAATACTGCATTGTTTGAAGTTGTTTGTTACGTTGTTGTCTCATTATACCTGGGACTTTTTACGTACGTATGATATAAAAACACATATACATACACACACACACACACATATATATATATATACGGAACAAACAAAAACAAAATTTATTAATTATTGATTTCCTTTTTAGTAAGGATCTCATTGTTTATCTACCTGTATTTATTGCACATTCTTCATCATCGCAACCACCACCAATCGCTAATATCGATAAGAATGTTTTTCCAAATCATTATAATATGATTGATGAAAATGCTGATTTTTTTGTCGAAGATTTTAGAAAAGATGACGACGAAGTTCTTGGTCAGGTATCATCACCTGTAAATATACCCTCTAAAAAAGGCAGCAGCGGAATACTTCCATGGTCAAATGTTGAAAATGATGGTGTTGGGAAAAATTCACCAAAAGCATCATCTCCTGGCTCTGTATTTATATCTGCAAGCCCGAAAAAACTTGGTTCATTCGCTTCATCAATATTAAATATTGCTAATAAACCTAAACAAATGTCTCCTACAAGTCCTTCAAAATTAATTCACAAATCCCCTCCATTAGCTCCTGCTTCTCCTTATGCATATATACCAGCTTTTGATCGTGTAAGATATTTATCTTTCACTACTCAGGAACAAGGTCAATTACAAAATAGACCTTATGATATTACACAACTAAATCGAAATCCTTCATCGTCGAAATTCGGAGGTTTTGGGATTTTTAATGATCAAATGTCTCCTCCTACTTCCGAATATGAATTTATTCCATCACCGCCTGACCCTTCTTCTAATATTGAAAAATGGCTCGAAAATCAAAATAATGATAGCTCACCTGAATTTTCCAGTCCAGCATTACTTGATAATAATAATAATAATAATAATAATAATAATAATAATAATAATAATAACAATAATAATAACAGTAATGAGGCTTCAAAAATGATAGAAGCTTCTTCTTCACCGTGGTCTCATTTAAACAAATCACAAGAAATAATTAATGCTTCTCCGCATTCTCAATCGCATCATCCAAAGCCCATCGTTCCTTTTGGATCCAGTTACGAACAACTACAACAGCTACAACAACGACAACAGGAACATAAAAGTACATCAAGAACTATGGCAATTCCGATACCACCATCATCCGATCAAACTTTATCCGATAATTCTTTTAAAAGAAACGATGACTTAGTATCTTCTCCCACAGGTCCTTCAGGTCTCACTTTATTAATGCGAAAACAATTATCTCCACCATTGCCGATTCAAGATTATCAGTTTAACGAACCTGCGTTAACAATAAGTCAGGAATATAGTCATGTGCCTAGAGGACGTCCATTACCAACACCAAAACCAAAACAATAACGACAACTGAATCAAAAATAATCAATAATAATTTAATAGACTTTTTTTTAATTTTATTTTGTAATTATATATTTTCATAACTCTAATGTTTTATTATCTAATCCATAATGTATTTCATTCAAGTGTGGATACACTCAAAAACTTATATATAAATCAATTTATACTGGGCATTCTCATTCAACAAACTCTCAATGTCGGAAGAATCTGATTTGTGTCTCTCCTGGTGGGTCGTCGAGAAAAAAATCAATAAAAAAATAAAAAAATAAAACTCGGTTGTTTCAAAAAAAAAACAAAAAAATTGTATAAATAAAAAAATTTTAACCGTGATCTCCGACTAGCTTATCTATTAAATGTTGGTGCCTTTAATTAATCCTTAGCACGATTTATTTATTTATTAACCAATTGTAAGCTGACCTTATTCAAACGCTCGAATATGTTGGCTTATTTGTGTCATTTTTTAGCCGTCTAATGTTAACGTTCTATTTTAAAATTGCCTTTTAACTAAAGCACTTTAGCCGAGGTCATATATCACGTTCCCTTGTTTTTATACCGAAACAACAATGTAATCTGTTTCTATACCGAATCGATACCTTTACCGGAGCTTTACTCTTTTGTAACTACCTTGCAAAAGTAACAATCAAAATTTTCCACCAAAGTTTTGATTACGACTTTTAAAAACAAAGCGAACCGTTTTATTTTCCAGAGTTGGTAACAAAATTCGTAAATACCTTCTAATTTATACATATAGTTCTAATAGGATCACGGACAATCATAATTATTTTCAAAATCTATTTTCGATACAACTCTAGGGAATACTTCATATGCGGTATGCTTGGGTTCTTTTGTTTAATATGCTCGAACGATCGCCTCTGCAAAACTTAATGGATAAGGCCAGTCATACCAAAAAAGAGAGGCAAAAAATCATCTTTTCCTTCAAGGCCTACAAGAAAGTGTCTGTGTAAGAATATGACATTGCTTATTATACTTGATAATTCGTGAACTTTAGCATAATTTTCAAGAAAATTCTTTACAACAGTACCAATATTTTGGTTTGTTCTGATTTAGAGAGAACTTGAAATGATTGTCAAATCAAAAATCGTGCGACTCTATTGATTGACATACTGCCCCACCCCCAAATCATCTTGTGTTGTGTAACTGAGTGTAGATTAAAAAAAAATTTTTTGAATTTTTTGAATAAATCAATATTTGACCCAATTTCAAAATGCCGGGAAATTGTCAATCGATTAGGTTTGTTTTTATTATAAAAAAATTAGGAGGGAAGAAAAGAAATCAAGGATATGTAATTAATTTTAAAATAAATAAACAGACTTTATTCTAAAGGCCGTATCCTTGGTTTTAAACGGGCAAAAAGAAATCAATCACCAAATACTACATTAGTTAAAATTGAAGGAGTAACTACGAAAGAAGAGACTCAGTTCTATCTTGGGAAACGTGTTGCTTTTGTATATCGTGCTAAGCGTGAGGTAAGTTAAAAATAATTTAGCATTGAATGTTTGGGTGCATTTCTTATAACTTGTGAATTAATAAGATTTTTTAATCTTTAATGAAAAATTAAAGAAAAATGGTAGCAAGATTCGTGTAATTTGGGGTCGTGTTTCAAGGTAGCTTTTCATATTTATTAGTGAAAATATATTATATTAGACAGGGATTTTATTTTTAAAGCACGCACAAATATATATATATATATATACATATATAGACCTCATGGTAATGGTGGAGTAGTAAAAGCCAGGTTTAGAACTAACCTTCCTGCAAAAACTTTTGGTGCTAGTGTAAGAGTTGTAAGTGTATTTAATATCATGTGTTTATTGATCAATATTTTGGACATATTTGAATTTAACAAAAAATTTCTTTTTTTTTTCTTAATAAATAAAAGATGTTATATCCTTCACGTGTTTAATTAAAAAAAGTTTGACAATTGGGAATATATATAAAATAATATGATAAAATTTTATTTAATTTACAAGAAATAAAAAAATTTTATAAAAATTAATATAAATAATTTAATTAATTAATTAAATAAATAATTAAAATAATTATATTTAGAAATCAAGAACTTTTTAATTCTTTTCTGCATTGTGAATTTTTTCATTTCAGCTTTTTTTGTAAAGTTGTCAACTATATATCAGCAAAAGAAAAACCTTTAAACAAAAAATTTTAATTGATGTTTCACTTTTACTCAAATTTGAAACCAATTATCAGAAATATCTTTAGTTATTTCTTGGCAGTATTAATTAATTAATTGCACCTTCAATGATCCAGAATGTTTTAAAGAAATGGTTTTTTAAAATGTAAATAAATTTTATTTTACAAAAAATTAAAATTAAATATAATTTATGTTAATTAATTATTTAATTAAAGCTTTTGATTATGATTTCCTAATTGAATATATTTACTTAATTAACAAAAACTAGCTTTTTTTGTCTTATATTTAAAACTACAATCTTTTCTTTAGGTTGAATTCATATATAGGTTCTAGAGTAATATATAATAGTAAATTAATTTAATGTCATATATAATAATTATTTTCAAAATAATTACTCTTGCCTATTCTCATTCTCGTCAACCGAAACTTCTCTATTATCTGATAATCTCTAAAATGAACAAATTGTGCAAACTGGTAATTGTTACATGTAAACTTGCCAAAAGCTATCAAATATTAATATGGGACCTTTCAACGGAAACGAAGACAACGTCGAAAATCACGATTTTGAGTTAATACCACCCTCTTTAGATGAAATGTTTTTGGCTTAGAAACCATACCCATTTTGCATAATAAAATTTACTTTTAAAAACAATAGCAAATCCCTTAGAATTGGCGAAAAAGGTGATCTAAAGACCAAATTTTCAAATTACCAAGCAACACGGGCATGGTTTCTAAGCAAAAAATGTTCTTTGTGAAAAAATACACATAAAAATGTGGCTAGTCGTGTCCCTTTCTTATCGAGAGGCGTCATATATCGTCATCTATCACATTTATCCTCTTCTGACCCTATGCAAAGTTTGCACACTTAAAACATACTTATTTCATGCTCAAAACACAATTTAAGTAAAAATTAATTAATGCTTTGAGCATGAAATAAGTATGTTTTAAGCACATTTTGACTATTATGGGGAAACGCTTAAAACATTCTCGTTTCTTGCAAATTTAAGTAGAAAATAGGCATGATTTTCTACTTGTTTTCCATTTATTTTCTACATATCATACTTAAATTACACACTTAAACTATACTTGATTTATACTTTATTTATTCTTAAAATTACTAGAAAATATATTGTTTATTTAAACAAATCACGCGAAGCCCTTTTTTGAAATTTTTGGGCGCGTGGCGCAGCATCAGAAGGTCTTTAGACCGAACCACCAACCATAATAATGCTATCTATTATTGCTGATCATCATTATTATTTCTAGCTCTAACATTATTCACTGGTGTTATTATTACTCCCATAATTATCATATTTACTACTGCTACCATTATCATTATTGATATATACAGCTATTGGTATTACTATTGTTATTATTATTATCATTTTCAAAAAAAAATTTATTATAATTATATATTATCACAAATAAACTAAATACTACTTTTCTACAAATGTGGTTTTTCTTTTATTAATTTCGTCAATTGTTTTAACAAACATTCTAAAGAAAATAAACCAAAAAAATCTTTTTTTAAAGGATATAAAAATAACTCAGAATAGCGATTATCACACCGGTGACCAAAAAGGAATATAACGCGTACATATTTTTCTAAAGGATTATCTGACGTTGTACAATCAACGATCAGAACGTAACAAACAAACAAATATAAAGGATGATAATAATGCCAATGTCAGATTTATATTTCAAAATCAAAGTATTGAAAATTGTTTTCCATTGTATATTTACATATTTGTGATATATGAATATTGGTAATCGTTTACAAAATAAAAGATTGCTTATTTGAATGATAAAACGAATAGGTAAAATGAATAAACGAATAATTCGAGTTCGGAAGGTTTTCACGAATCATTTTAATATTAATAATCGATAAAGGAAGTAATTAGCAATGATAACAATATAAGAACAACAGAGCGGCGAAACCATAAAAGGTCGACTTTTAACTTTTAATAAGACAGAATATTTAGTATTAAAATTAAAATCATCAAAACTTCGAATTTCAGCAATAAAAGAATCTTAGAATTTAAACTTGTATCTAGATCTACTATATAAAAAACATTATAAGTACCAATATTGTCCAGGCTATATGTATTTCAAACTCGGGCATTAAAGACAGCTCAAGCATGTTCTTATTTTATTATTAATATTGTCATGTACTTGCTATTACACCTGCTTATATGCACTTCGAATATGTTCCGAATTTTTTATTTTATGAATGTAGTTATGTTACAAGAAATATTAGTAACAGTTATTATACAGTAATTGTAAAGTTTGTTGCGTTTTTATTTTGAAGAAAATACAATAAAAAGTTTTTGTCAATTTCGATAAGAAATATCACCACCGTTCTAAAATAAATCGCATGTTTCATATGAAACGTGCCTGGGTATTAATATCAATTTTTTTAATAATAAAATAACAGGCACTAATTTTGGTTTAACATAGTAAACTTGAACCTTAATTCCTTCATGAAAACATGGCATCAACAAAATGAAATCGTAACTTTGTAGAGAAAGGTCTTAGTTTCAACGTTACGATAACTTGTCTAACAGACTAAATTCGCACAATCCTGTAGAATGGTCAATGGCAAGGATAATTAGTGCAGCTATTGAATGTATCAACCCAACATGCATTTCATTCAAGTATGGTTACACTATAAAGCCCCAGGATTCTCATACAACAACTACCATTTCTATTACTGGTGCATTCAGACCATTCTCAGCTTCTCGTTCCACTTACCACCCTTCTCAAAGACTTGCACACACCTACACCAACCATCAATTTAACATGTTCTCAATATCAAGAAGGTATGAGAGTCTCTCCTGGTCAGGAGATTTATTGTGATCTTCTGCTTGTTAAACAAATGAAATCGAGCAGAAGGTATTAAAACGGAAACAAAATTTGAGATTTTCCAAAAAGTATAATAATTTTAATATTCTATAAATTTTTTTGAAATAAAATGGGATTTTAAATTATTTTTTTTATACCATGTTTTAATAACAAATGATTATGATTGTATGGTAATGATTCACGTATTGTATTATATGTATTAAATGTTTATATGCTAGTAAGTAATTAATTATTTATATAAGTAGAATTTAAAGAATATCTTGATGGAACTTTAACGTTGAATTTCTCAACTAAACTTTTCCAACTTCAATTGGAAAAAAAAATATTATTAATATATAATTAATAAATAGTTAATATATTTTCCAGATAATAATATTATTATTTAATACTTACAGCCTAGTACAACTATATTCTTCATTATCTATTAAAAAGATAGTATATGTATAAATAAGTAAATGTTACAATTAAACATATATATAAATTTACACACACACACACATATATAGTAAATATAAATACCAAATGTCTGGTGAGGATCACAACTACATCTTCCTCTGAATTCTTCCTCGACTGGACAATGCATGAATGGATTATGTTTATATCCTATTTCATTAAAGTAGTGTATTTGATGCTTCTTTAAGAATAAAGCTGCTGCTATTGAATGAACTGGCGCATCACCCCATCTATACGAATACGTATGTGTATACTTATTATTATTATTATATTATTATTATGTGGTTACTAGCTACTTTGGGCGCCGTTACCAATTAATTAATTACACGATTACCAATTACCAATTAATTTATTATTTCAAACAAATAATTAATTGCTAACCTTTCATAAAAGAATCCACCTTTGTCATCCAAAAATTTAAAAAATTTACTATAAGCTTCACCTCTCCATAATCTCAAATCGGCTATTTCAAAGTTCGACCAGAAATGACATCTTTTAATTATTTAATTAAAATCATATATATAATTAATTATTATATAAATTCCCCAAAAGCTTGATAATATTGATATTTAAATCATACAAATTATAAGTTGCTCCTTCGTCATTTGATACGAAATCCATCCAATTATCTTCTTCAATGTATTCTGGGTACATTTCTATGAATTCCTTTACAGTACCCCACAGTGATTCTATTGTTCTTGGGTATTCATATAACGATATTGTAAATCCTAAAAATGAAAATCACAAAAGGTTGATATTTTATTTTTGCATAATTATAATAACTCAATCCAATAATCTGATTCACTATATACGCTTTTACACTTTTCACATTTACCATATTTAATATCATTGTCTTGCATATATAAGAATGGATCAAAATCTATATTACAATAGAAATCAACTCCAGGCTCGACCCTCCAATAATAATCATAATTTTTCAACAATTCATGTCTATAAAAGAATCCTGATTCAAATCTACAGATTGAAAATGGATTATATTATATATTTATATGCTATATATACGTATGAATGCTTATGTTACTATCATTTGTATGTTCACATACCTGCACATGTGTCGATAATTTAGACTTCCGCCATAAATTACACGTTCTTCAGCCATTTGTTTCATCGCAGATTCCATAAG